AGCCGCTCCGCGGGGCTGTACTCGTCCCAGTCCCTGCCCACGATGTAGAACAGCACCTGCACCCGCGGCTTGCTCAGGTAGATCTTGCTGCTCAGGATGTAGGCCTGCAGCTTCCAGTTGTACGTGAACTTGTTGGCGGATCCAAAGGGGTTTGAGGGCAGCATTAAGTCCTGGGGCACTGGCTGTTCAATGGAAAAAGGCCCATAGCTGGCGTTTAACACGGGGGGGCTCTTGGATTTGTAGATCAGAAAGGATTCCACCCGGGACTGCAAACTGGAGTTCCTCATAATATCCTGGTTGGCTTCCTTAAGGAAGAAGGAAACATCGGCATTGTGGATGCGATAGGTCACCGGCAAGTACGTGGGCAGCAAAGAAAACCTCTGGATGCTCTCCAGGATCCCTCGACTCTCGGTCACTGTTGGAAGGAAAGCAGAGTTTAAGAGATCAGATCTCCAGGTCATACTGTGACATAACCAGGCTGACTTTACTGAGGGGCTGGACAGTGCTGCAGCTGGGATTAGTGGCAATAAACTCCATCAGTCCATGCGGAGGTGGCCTAGGCTGACATGATTTATCCAATCCGCTTGGAGAACAATGATTTACGGTACATTCTGCATGACAGCCAGATCAAAAGAAGTAGCTTGTGGAGGTTTACATGTGCCAAAGGTCACATCTCCACTGCAATGAACATTTATCATCAGAGACAAAATGACCCCGTCAGCACCTGCAACCCCAGATCACCGCACAGGCACATCTGAAAAATCTGATCATTACAGAAAGCTCCACCTGTGCAGGAATCCAATGCAATGATTTTACATCAGATGCTGCAAATGGACTGCCCAGAGTTCACTTCAACCTTCTCAGCACTCTCAAGCAATACAAGCAATGGTTGCCTCCACAAGGCTGAATTTCACTTTAAAAATATTTGGCACGATAGCCATTTACACAACAGCTCCTTTACATCATTCTGGGAGGATTTCAAAAGGAGTTGTATTTGCATCCAATTTAGAGTCCCCTCTATTTCACTTTACACATGAATAAAGGGTTTTTCTGTAAGTCACCATCAGGATTCATTGTTGCCTCACCCTCCACTGTCCCCTCATCCAGCTGCATTATCTGGAGGCTGTACATCACTGCACACAAAGGACATTTCCAATGGCCCCGAGCCTCTCCCACTGCAGGGCACCTATTTTAACTCTGCCAGCCAGCAATTACCTGAGGCAGGCAAGCTCTGCATTCTTTCTAGGAACTGGCAGTCCCAAAGAATACAGAAACTTTAAAAATACAGATGCAAATACAGTGTCACCTTTCCCATTTGAACAGCTGACCTTTGTGCTCACATTCTCTACCCTAATTATGAAATAAATTGCCTTTTTATTTTCCCCACAGCAAATTCAAATCCTTACCCTTATTCAGAAAGGGGACAAAGGCATCCAAAGACAACCCAGTTTCTCAAGCTCTAATTCACAAATGCTTCAGTAGTCTTTATTTTTCTGTTCAGCATCTGACCTAAATATTTATCTGCTCACGAGTGCTGTGGTGGCCTAAACTGATGCCACTTACTCCTCCTAACCATTAATCCTCCATTTAGGTGCTGCAGCCCACTCTGTCCAACCTCAGACAAGCCACTTTTCCTGGGCTGCTGTCCAAAAATTAAAGTGTTTCTTTCCCCTTACCCTTTGTCTATAGACTGCAAACATAACCAACTTATCTTACTATTTATGTAGGAGCAGCACTTAAAATGCCAAAGCTGTGATTTTGGTTAGGGTCTCCAGACCTAACACAAGGCAAAACAAAGTGAAGTTTAAAAAAAAAAAAAAAGCAAAAGACTTTCTAGATGAAAAAGCAAATCTATCTGGCTTCTTAAAAGAAGATAATCCACAAAATCCCCTAAAAATCAGCAACAAACCGAAACCAACTAACCCTAGATAAGGGTTCCACTCAGAAGGAACCCATTTCAGAGTGGAAGAGGCCAGGAAGAAAGATTACACAAGAGTTTCAGAGCATCACAGAATCCCTCTCTACATCTTGAAAATGAGGAACTCTTCTTCCAATAAACAACTGCAATAAAACCTTACATTACAAAGTTTAATGAAGGTCCCCTCAAACCCCAAAGCACTGTGAATCAAGCCTATCTGAAGGACCAGGAAAATGGCCCCAGCACACAGCAGCCTCTGAGACTGAACTGCAGGAGCACTGAAATCCTGTGACCCCCCAGAGGGGGCAAATTCATGCGAGATCTGCTACAAAGATCATTTTAAATAAAGAGTAACTGCAGAGCTTTCTCACACACAAAACCACTTTCATTTTAGCCTTTTGAGCACTGAGCTCCCAGTCTTTCTCTAGATACTGACTGACAGCGAGTGCAGCTTCTCAAGGCTCTTTTCTGGACAATCCCCCAGCAGAGATTCCTGCCTGCCCTGCTGGCTCCGGGGCCGTGAGCTGCAGGGCTGGAGCTCTGCTCTGTGTGCTCCTCAGCTCACCCAGCCCACAGCATCCTTCCCCATTTATAAACTCCACACTCATTGCATTCTCCTCCCAACATCTTGGCAAAGCACAGCAAGGCATCAAAGAAGCAACTTGAAGAGCAAAAATCTCCGAGTATTCAATTTTTTAGTCCCCTTATTTTGATTGCAGCTCCCTCCCTTGTGGTCCACAGGGAAAAGTACATTATTTTTATATTAAAATTAACAGAGTGTTTCGCCTCATAATTTTTTTATCATTTATTTTAGTGCTTAATTATCTGAGGAATTAAAAACTTCTCCTCTGCATTCCCCATCCCCACAGGACAATGTTCCTCAGATTCTGTAAATCAGTGACTCTTCAGAACAGGAGAGCAACACAAACAGGGAAAATAAAGGAAGAGAAGGTGAATTGAAAGCATATGAAAATAGGAACCACCCTCACAGCTGGAATAAGGGCACTGGCTTTCCATTTCTGGGCAGGGGCAAACTGGCCCCCTCAAAGTGCCCTTCCCCCAGCACCAGCTGGGAATGCACACCGAATTTGAACTGGTTTGTGCTGGAAGCTGACAGCAGCTTTCCAAACAGCCAAAGGCCAAAAACCCAAACCATTTTAAACTTTTATCTGGGGAGAGTTATAATTGGCACAAACAAAAAAAGTCTCAAAAACAACACTGAGCTCTGCTGTACCATCTGGATTTTGACCGTGAAAGTTTATTAAGGATTCAGAAGGATAGGAAATTAAAAACAAAAACAACTATCAGCGTCCTTAATTACAAGCATGACTATTTTTGTAAAAATTATGCATGTTTTTACAAAGGCAGAATTGCAGAAGATTACCATTTTGTTTGTTATTGAGTGAGACTCAGCAGAAAAGCAATGTTTTAAAGATTTAAATTATATAATCTATCCTAAATATTACATTCCATGTACACCCTCATAACCCACGTTCCACTGGAATAACCCACCTGGATGTTAAGTCAACAGTGACACAGTGACTCTCTCACTGTAAGTACATCAAACAAAACAGAGGACGGGGAACTGAAGCGCTCTTACGGAAACAGCATCAAGAGAAAAGATAAATTCAAGAGCTGCCATTGACCTTTGCTGTGCCACTGTGCCTGGAAATGTCTCCACACAGAGACCTTGGCTGCAGAAGCAGCAGCGCTGCTTCCAGGAGAGGATCCAGCAGGGTAAGGAAACCAGCCAGCGCTGATGTTGGTGCCCTGCCCGTGCCAGCAGTGACCATTCCTCAGTGCCACAGGGACTGTCTGACTCCTGCTCTGGAGCCTGCTCAGGATTCCAGTCTGTGCCCACCTGAGATGTTACCACAGGATGGTTTTCTGTCCTCTGTCCTTAGTAAACCTTCCTCTGGCTGATGCAGTTTAAAAAACACTTGCCATTGATTGAAGAAGCAAACCATTTGTAGGTCAGTGAGTCTGAAAGCATGTGAGGCAAAGGCAGCACGCTCAGTTTGCTCCTGCACAGCCAAAGCCTGTGCACAAATCCCTCAGCACCACCTGTGCCCCTGCTGCACCCACCCTTCAGTCACACTGCCTTCCTCCTGAGGGCACTCGTTCTGTACTGCACCCTGGCTAAAAGCCTCCCCTCTATTTCTGCAGTGTCATGGAACAGCAGCTCTCAAACCACTCCTCACAGCTCAGCTCTACTGCAGTTATTGACCATGGCTTCAGAAAATTGAAGGAATCTGCCGGCCCACTAACTCCATTCTCCATTGCCAGATCCTTGGGATTTCAGCCCTCACAGTTACTTTATTTTTAAAACAGTTCAATCCACAATCATCCAGCATTCATGAGATATAAAACTCTTCCAATCAATTATATAATGCTACTATTAAAAAAAAGTAAATTGTCTTTTTCTTGTAAATTGAAGGGAACAACTTCTTAGGGAAATTGCCTTCCCAGCTGCAGGCTCAGGCTGGTAATGCAGTAGATGGAATTTGTTGCTGTATCTTGGGGATTGAGATAAGTGGTTCTTTTCAGCAAGGCCAGAAATTTTACCTTTTTAGTTCATTTCAGCTGCTCTCCTTGAATCTTCTGAACACTTCTGCTCTTATAGGTTTGTTATGAATTGAAATCATTTCGGCAAAAGTATAGAGAAAAAAAAAATCTGCTAGCCTGATATATTTTCAGCTCTGGAAAGTAATGTTGTGGGAGATGTCTGCTCCAATGAAGCTTCATGCTCACTTCTGAAAAATTAAGGTATTTCAGCTCTAACCCAGTTAAGTGGCTGAACCTGCTGATGCTCAGAAGGGAGGCATTTTAAAGCCATGCTATGAGCACAGTGAGTCCCTCCCCAGGTGCAGCTCAGCCAGTTTTTACCAGGGGGATGATCTGCTCTGCCCCTTTGAGTCACAACAGACAGAGAGGGTTCAGACTGAAGATCTGAGTGGGATCATTTCTATCCTGAAGGGTTTGTAGGCTGCTTGTCCTGTTCCATCCTCCACAGCCACACTGGAGCTTCCCAAGGATGATTCCCCATCTTCCTTCTTTTGCCAGCCTTGTGGCAGCTTCAGCTTCCTCAGCAGTGCACTTTGCACTTCTGGATTAAGGCTTGCTTTGCTTTACTGCCACCAGCTTTGTGACAGTGGCAAGAAGTAAGGGGAGGCTGAGGACTAAACCGGCCTGATTTTCCTGTAGACTTCCCCTGCTTTGCCATATAAAATTAAAAAACCCCAAACCCACAATAAATACACAAAACCAAACCAGCCCACCCTCCTGCTGAACACCTGGCACAGGCAGGTGAGGAGGCTGAGCCATCCCAGCCCAGCACAGACACAGTGTGAGGGTCACCCCCTGCCCCAGCTACAGCCCAAGGGTGTTTCTGCCCTGCAGGTGAACTGTTTCTTCCAAAGGAGCCTCTCCTTATGGATGCATGACTGCATTTAGACTTCTCCAGTGATCCCAACATTCCCTACCCAGCTGTGCAACAC